GAAAAGGGCCTATGGTGGCTCACAACAATAAAAGCCAATATTTAAAGTTGAAAACAATGAGTATACAATAGCAGTTAACATCATTAAAAGAGAACATTTTAAACTGCAAACAATTAATAAATAAATACATTAATAAAGAGTCATCTTACATCATTAAGGCAAAGATCAATAAGTATACTTTTTTTTGTACACTGTATGCGAAGTCTACAGAAAACGCATCCAGCTTTTTTTTGTACATTGTATGCGAAGTCTACAGAAAACGCATCCACACAGACCAGTACCTACACAAAAACTCCAACCACCACCCATGACAAAAAAGAGGCATAATCAAAAGACTGGTAGACCATGTGAATCGGAACTGTGAAGCTCAATTTATCAGCACCGAACTCAACCATCTGAACTGGGTCCTACAGGCAAATGGCTATGCCAAGAATGAAATCAGAAGAGCCATCAAACCCAAAAAACAACACCAAACTGAAGAAGAAAAACAGCCACCCACAAATAAAGTATTTCTGCCATACATCAAAGAGGTCATGGACCGCATGAGGAAACTTTTGAAAAAACACAGGTTACAAACAGTATTCAGGTCCACCACAAAAATACAACAAATGTTACAGTCTGCAAAGGATGAAAGGGACCCCCCTCACCACTGCAGGAGTATACCGAATACCTTGCAGTTGTACTAGGAATATATTGGGTCCTCAAAACACAGCATTCACACCAGAATTAAAGAACATGAAAGACACTGAAGACTAAAACCACCGGAAAAATCAGCAGTAGTGGAACATGCCCTGAAACAAGCTGGACATGAAATTCTATTTCAAAACACAGAAGTGCTGGACAAAACCAACAATCATTATATCACAGTACACAGGGAAGCCGTTAAAATCCACAAACACTGCAGAGCTTAAACAAAAAAGAAGAAAGTCTAAAACTCAACAAAGCCTGCTTCCCCGCACTGAAAAATACATCCTGCAAATGAACCACAAACTCTACCCAGCCACAAGGAGCAATGATCACTGCACACAAAAGACTAGCTAATGACTTCCATCAATCACAGTGACAGATCATCTCCCCGCCCCTTATCACAACAATACACCCATAACAAAAAACACACTGATCACCATAATCATCCAATCTCCTGAAAAGGACAAAAATCTGATTCCACAGCTACAAATACTCAACCACACTACAACCCAACACAGATAGAGTTCTAACTCCTGTCCTCTGAAGATGCCAGCGACAGAGACTGGTGAAACGTTAAGAAGAAAAACCTTCAGAGCATGGCCAAACAGCCCCAAAAAACCTACAACAACCATTGGATCCTGGCCGTGAAAGCCTTCAAGAATACAAAAAAGTCACTTTGAGAAATGGAAAACACAAAAAGGGAAAACACAAGTAGTACTAAAAATCCTGTCAAAGCAGTAATGCAGAACAATTTATCTAAAAATCACACACTTCTGAAGAACCTTAGAGACAAATTTGGGTGTTAATTGAACACAGAATGTTCAGTGCATAAAGAGTGGTTTCTTTGGGGGGGAATTAAGTGGTGGCACTAGTCATAATTTTGCTGGCTTTATCTTTCTTAATTTATGTTACTTATCACTGCCCACTGTTACTGCACAAAATGCTTGTGTCAATTCTAAACATGAGGCAAACAGTAAGGGTTTAGCATGTTTAGTTTATGCCACTACTTGCTTGTCTTATGTGAATGATCTTCTTTCCATATGTTAGCTGTAGGCCTCTGAGAAAATGTGGACATTTGTCTGCTCATGTTGGGCAACTGTGACCTGCTGTTATACACTAATGATTGTAAAGAAGGGAAATGTGCCTTCAAAACACACTCTTTTTAGATCTGGAAACAATCCAATGGATTCAAGTGCTTTACCATCTGTACAAATCCACCATTTTCACACACCCAACTTTGTCTAATTTTGCACCTGTTGGAAATCTACCTAGGGATACTTACTCTGTATAATGTCTGTGGCTTCAATTCCTGAATGACTAGCTCTCTGGCAGCTCTGTTGCCATAACAACATTTGGAATGGACAAAGCTGAGGAGCGCATTCCGGGCCACGTCTTCTGTCATTCTTGGGATCCTGATGATTAAGTACACAGCACACAATCATTTTGAAAGCATCTATACATGAAGGAATGCCTATAGTAAGTAGGCCAGGAATGGCAAAAACGCAATCAGCTTGACCACAATCCTTCAGAAAATATTCACTCCTTCTTCAGTGATAGTCATTTCTAAATTTTGTGCCTGGGGAGCAGTAGCCATATTAGTCTAATGCAGGGGTTTTAAACTCAATTTACCTGGGGGCCGCTAGAGGCAGAGTCTGGGTGAGGCTGGGCCGCATCAGATTTGCCGCCAAGAGCCCAAGGAAGTCGCCCAGGAGTTTCCTTACCTGACAAGACAGGTGGGCTGGCTGGCAGGCTGCAGTTCTGGATGGAGGGTGCAAGAGGTGCTTTCTTGGGAGAGAGCCGGCGAGCGAGGCAAGGCTTTTTTTTTTACTCTTGACAGCAGAGGATGTGTGGGTGCTTTGGGGGGGCAGGCAAGGCGAGGGCCACAAACTATCATCTGGGGGGCTGCAAATGGCCCCCGGGCCACATGTTTGAGACCCCTGGTCTAATGCAACAATTATTCTCAAAGCACATGAAATAACACCCAGTTTCATACTCAGTGAAAGAAAATCCTTCCAGATGGGAAAAACTAAAGGATCTTACCTCAAGCCATTCCAATAGGCAGCTACCCTGAGACAACACCTCTCAGAATTCAGTTTATAGATATTAATACAGTGGTGCCTTGCTGGATGATGATAATCCGTTCCACTGAAATCATTGTTTAGTGAAATCAGTGGTTAAAACACTGTACTGCAGCTAAAACTGTGCTCACGACCTGGGGTTCAAATCCCAGGTAACCAGCTCAAGGTTGACTCAGCCTTCCATCCTTCCGAGGTCGGTAAAATGAGAACCCAGCTTGCTGGGGGGGCAATGTGTAGCCTGTATAATTAAAATTGTAAACCGCCCGGAGAGTGTTTGTAGCGCTATGGGGCGGTATATAAGTCCAATAAATAAATAAATAAATAAAATCTAGCGAAAAGCATTTCCCCATTGGAATGCATTGAAACCTGTTTAATGCATTCCAATGGGGAAGAATCGTCGTTGTCTAGCGAAGATCAGCCATAGGAAAGCCGCTTTGCGAACTGCCGATCAGCTGTTTAAATAGCTGTCTTGCGAAGCTTAGGTCCCGAAAACACCCATTTTGTGAGCATGGAGGGAGCTGTCAAAATCGTCTAGCAAAAATTGGTTTGCGAAGCAGGGACCAAACATTGTCCCGCGAAATTCCCCCATAGGAATCACTGTTTTGCGAATCGCTATAGCGATCGCAAAAAGTCAATGTCTAGCAAAAAAACTGTCATGCGGGGTAACTGTCTAGCGAGGCACCACTGTATCTTCATGGGGAGAAAACTCATACTAGTGCTAGACCTGATCAACTTTCCAAAATAAGAAGCAAACAAAGAGGTCTCACCTGCATTCCAGAAACACAGGGTTTTTCCTCTGTTCGCTAAACATCTGCAGCATCTCTGGAGGTGGAACTATTTTTTTCCTGACTAAGTAGAGCATGTAAAGAGTTAGTTTCCATTATCAGTAATTTATTGATACCAGTGAAGAAAAATTGAGAGTATCCAGAAAACCTAGAGACCAAGGTATTTTCATCCTTCCAGCATCTGGCAACTAAATGTCCCAGAGAGATTAACAAACAAGACATGACATACATATATTTTCAATGATGTTTGTACCTAGTAGTTCAAGGTGTGCGGTCTTGGAGAAATTCTTCCACTTTTAGTCATCACACCTTTCACCACTGATATCTCTGTCCACCCAATGAGTTTAGTGTGCTTGTGTTAGATTCTTTGCTGGGTGTGATTGTCCTCAATAATCATTAATGACACATTTCTATCCCCAGACAAGATTAACACTCCAATAGGTTAATCACTCTACTGATTAACACTCTAGTACAGTATATTTATTTTTATCACAATCAAACAGGAAAATTCAGGACCATATGCAGAGACATGAGAAATCTGAGTTCATTTTTTAATTTTCTAAGATTTCCAGTTTGAAATTTGGCAAAAACCCTATTGATACAACGATCTCATGATAGACAAGCAAGAAAGCAAAGACTAGCATGTGCTGCATTTACTGAGAACCCACAAAAATTACTTTTCATACTTCAACACTCAGGATCCCCCACCCAATATGGTTACTGAGCTTCCTCTAAGCTTTGGTTATATTATTTCATTTTATGTTGCGCATTTCATTTGCAGCAGTACATCCATTATCCTTGGCCACCATGAGCATGCACACCTACCATGATCACGAAAACTCCATGCATAATGACCCAGAGGTTCTAAAATATCTGATGGTAGGAAAGGACTTTCAGGCTCTGAATCCTGATCCAAGGAAGCTGTTTGAGATTAAAAAATATAAAAGTGGAACATTGAGGTAAGTCATCATGTATTGCGTCTTTTTATGTGCAACCACAGAGTAATAAACTGTGAGAAGACATTTTAATTCCACTGTTGGGAAACATGACAGTCAAGAACCAAGGCTGAGATGAAAATGTCTGTGCTTTTGGGTTAAAGTCTGCTTTTGGTCCATCAATCTTTGGAATAGAGGTCATAACTTTCCATCTTTGGGATCCATTTCCAAGGATCATTTCCCTGACATCATCTTTCTTTTCCATGCCATATGAAAACCTTCTTTGCCCAGGTCTTTTACCATTGCAATGTATAGTTGGGAAGGGAGGGGGGAGAAAATTTGATACTGTATTCTGTTTCTTTACTGTGAGTTGTTTATTGTTTTACTTTGATTTTTCCTGTAAACTTAGTTACCCCGAAACCTTCACTTGAAGAACAGTTAATGTTCACTGTTTACTTTCTATACTTGGAACTCGAGAAAACTTCCTTCTAAGTAGGTATGCATGGGGTTCCACTGTGAATGTAAATGTAAATATGTATTCCCAGTTTTCTCTCCAAACTTTAAACTTTGTATTTGTAGGAGTTTCATTACATATGAAGTTACCTGATCAGTCATCAACAACAATATTTTAAGGACTCCTTTTTGGCAAAGGAAGAGTTTTCCAGCCCATTTGGTTCACATGCGGATATGCATTATGAATGTGGTCTAGTGGATGTAGTGGGTTCAAATCCCTGCTCAGCCATGGAAACTAAACAAGGGGGAGGGGTGGCACTGGTAAAGCCACTCCTTAAATACAGGGGGGAGGCACTGGTAAAGCCACTCCTTAAATATTTCATATACTTTGAAAACTCTGTTAAAGTCACTGTAAGTCAGATGCAACTTGACAGAACATAGCAACAGTTTCCCATATGCTTCTAGTCTGTTTATACACCAGGAGAGAACATCAGGAACATGTTGAATGGGTCAGGAATATGATTTATTTCTCTGGAGTCTAGTTTTGGAAATTGAGGAGGGGACAACTGTGTTGTGCTCCTGCTTGCTAATTTCATCCTGCCCCCTGCTACCTGAGTGGTGTGACCACCTTTTGTATCCCAATAGTTCTTTAGTTTCCGCTACAAGAACCACATTAACTCTGTCAGTCAGCACAGCAATGCATGGGAGGTTGTCATGGTGATGTACTGCAATGGTTAAACTGCAGTAGTGCAATCAAGACTCTGCTCATGACCTAAATTCAATCCTGACAGATTTAAGTAGCTGGCTCAAGGTTGGCTCAGCCTTTCATTCTTCCAAGGTTGGTAAACTGTCCAGAGAGTGGTTTAGCACTAACTATGGGACGGTATGTAAGCAGCACACTTTATAAACAGCACACCTTTACCAAAAGCCAGGAAGAATTGTCACGGTGCAATCTGCTCACAAAACCTGTCATTATCTAATTTATGCAATTTGCGTCTGCTTGACAAAACGTGGGTGCTCAGGTAGTTTTTAATATCATTTTAAATATCATTTTTAATAACAAGCAGATCATTTTTAATATCAAGCAGAATTCTACAAACTCAGATGCAACTCTTACATTCCTGCAAATGAAGCTTTCACAGAGCTGTTAGCTTTTCAAATTAATTTGACTCCTCCTTTTTAAAATTAAGTGACCGTTCGGGTAATTTTAAATTAATTTGACTGCTCAGTGCTTTAAAATGAAAACCAACACGTCCTGAAATTTCTGGTTTAGGCCCCAGACTTTATTTTTTTGGAAACATTCATTGTAATAACTTATATTGCCTCTTACATAGAAAACCTTGCAAGTTGTGTCTTAACACTAGCCCAAGACTAATCTTGGATGCCAGATGTTCTCTTCGTTATGTGTTCTAAAAATATGCTCCTGCTGAGCCATAACAATAGGCGCTCCTGATGCATAGTACAGAAACAATGGATTCATTTGTAACCCTCACACCAGAGTGTTTTGTGTCCTTTTCAAAGTCCTTTCAAGAAAAAAACCTAATGAACATGGAGGGTCCAGGAAATGCCATTTGCTAAAAATATGCAATCCTAACACAAGAAAAAGTGACTCCCTGCTATCATTCATCAACATGATTAAGTACATCATTCTGTTGAAAGCACTTACAATTCTTCAGAAAACAAAAATAAAATTTCCATTATTCCAGCTATTGGAATGAAGTTGAGGAGACACCAGCCCGTCAGTCCAGTTCTCATGGAGTTTGTGTAATATAATAGTAGAGCTCTAACTCCATGACAGTTATTCGATTGTGATATGAGCAAAGGCTAGGTTACTTTTACTACATATATCACACTTGAGCATCCATACTGGGTGCACAGTCTGCATGATGTTTTGGTAACTTAACACCCATACACTTAAATCAATCTGGTTTCTGGATTCAGTATTGGCTCAAATTTTTGTGATCTCAGTAAAGCAGTTAGGCGATCCAGTCATCTGAACAATGAACTTCAGCAGTGCTTTCCTTACAAATGAAAATACTTCAGTCATCTGAGGGTGTGACTACACCGCGGGAAGATTTGCTTGGATATGCTGTGATCTGCATGTCTTCAAATCAGATTTCCATGGGTAAAATCGCTGTAGCCTTCCAGACAACAAATAATTTTCTGAAGTCAGCAGGAGGAGAGAGCTGTGTTCATATGGAAGCTGCCTTTGACAAGATGCTGATTGGCAATTTTCACTGTTTTTTAAAATTTGGCTTTCCTAAGAGACCTAGACATATGCTGATATAGTGTTGTTTGAAATCCTCTTTTTTAAAAAAAATTCAATAGTTGGTATTTCTCACCCCTATCTGTTCTTCCAATGGCAGTGTATTCAAATATTGAAGAAAAAGAAGAAAGACATGATACATTTGAGAACAAATTGCAGCCAAATTAACAGTATTATCGAATGCCTCGACTTAAATGGATGTAATCTGCAGTCCAGATTTTGAAACTTGCTACTAACAAAGGAACCTGGCATGAACTTCTGCTAATGATTTTTAAATGTTTTCCCCCTGCAGCATCCACAGCTCTGCAGTCCCTGGCCTGAGAAAGACCTGTACATGAGGAAAGCAGTTTATCTTTGTGCTTAGCTAATGGTGTAATAAAAGTATCAACCACCGTCACTTTCAGATTGTGCACAAGAACCACACAACCTTTTGTGTGCCAGCATCCCATGCTAAAAAGGAATCTCACTCTGACCTCAATATGAAACCTCAATTTTGAAAATTAGTTTTAATAAAGTTGCCTGGAAGGGATATCTGTCCACAATCTTAAGAGTCTTAATTTTTTTCCCCTGCATCATCCAGAGCTCCATGGATAAAGAACTGTACAAAGTCAAAAGCTAGCTTATATCTCCAATTTGTTAGAGTCTAATAAAGGTATCACCTACTCTTGGCTTTGAATGGTAATAAATCTCTTGGTCTTAAATGGATCATATTTTTTTCTTCTCTTTCTTCAACATTTGAACACACTACCATTGGAAGAACAGGCAGAGGTGAGAAGTACCATCTGCTGAATTTTCCAGTCAAGAAGAAAAACCTTGAAGTTGGAGAACAATGCAAGTTTTAAAAACAAGTGATGTGAGCATGATTTAATATCAAAGAACCAGCTTGGTAGCAAGAATTATCTCCAGCTGCAATGGATGCATTTTTGATGTTTCATCAGAAAAAAACACACATTTTTATTTAGCAGTCTCTTACTGAACTTATTGACTGGGAACTAGCAATACAAGATTCCCCATTATCTTCAAAAGTTGACTACAGTCTGTATACACAACAGTTACATTTAATTACAATGGAAGAATATGTGAGCCAAACAAAAGCACAAAATACTTTATGTAGTTAAAGAGCAAAGTTATAAATAGTTCCTGCTTGGAGGGTGTTATTTTGCAAACAGATCTGTTGCTATAGCAATCCATTTGGAACATAACAATAGTATATAAATACAACGTCATTACTCTAGGTTAGTGGAATAAGAAAACAGAATCGACTAGAAAGAAAAGGAAGCAAAGATCTCAGTAGATCCATGTCTGCTTTTACTATGATTACTGCAGCAGTTTTGTGACAGTTCAATTGACCCCAATGGCGAGCACACAACAATTTCTTCTGTTGAAAAAGCAAAGTTTGATGCTTATCTACTGTCCCATGGTGCTTAAAGCCCCCTCTAGGCAGTTCACAATATAATTATGCAGGTCACCTATTGGCATCCACCCACCCACCCTCGCAGCTAGATACTCATTTAACTGACCTCGGAAGGACTGAAGGCTGAGTCAACCTTGAGGTACTTGAACCTGTCATTATCCTTGTGAGCACAGTCTTGAGTGCAGTACTGCAGTTTAACCACTGTGCCACAAGGCTCCTAGACATACATGGAGATTGTAAAAACTGCACTGCTCCAGTGCATGGCTGTGTTAATCCCCTTGTTGGACATTGTCCTGCATCAGCTGTGGTGCAGTGGTAGATCTTAAATGTGGTAATTCACCAAGATGGCCCCCACAATCTCACCCGAGGAGAGTTAAAAAAAAATGTCAGCAGCCATGTTCACCTACATCATCAATCAGTTCTTGATACAGTGGTTCTTGAAGTTTACCAGGAAGAGGTAGATGTAAGAGGCCTTAATTGCTTACGCAAGACTATGCCACACATGAAACATTCCCATGAATACTGCAACAAGGAAAGTGTACAGGAATGTGTTGTTATTGGTACAGTCCATTTCTCCTCTGGCTAATCTGAAGACACCAGCTAAGTAACAGGAAAGACTGTGAGTGCAGGATGATGTCATTGTTCCTGGTGATCCAAAATCATGACACACCACCTTGTATGCCCTGGTTCTGCTATGGACCTGTATACTGCAAAGCATCCACGACAAAAATGTGGGGGCTGTTTATGATTGAGACTGTTGTATATATATCCTATCAATGCAGCATTTACAGAATGGGGTGGGCTAGAACTACGAATGAAAACATAATTAATGTATATACACAAATGTTTATCCTGTAAACATCCAGAATGTCAAGTCCCTGGTCCCAAATCCCCATGAGGCCTTTCTATTTCTCTCCTTTAAAAAAACACACAAGGGAGATAAACAACTTCTTGATGGAGGGGAAAATATAGCAAGGAACAAGACAGTGTGCATGCTATCTTTGTCCATTGCCACGGACTGTAATCTGTTTATACTGCCTCAGTTAGGTTCACCCATCGATTTTGCAGCACTGCAGTATAAAAGGCAAATACCCTAGCAAAATTGTCCATAAATTGCCCTGATCCATAGTATTCATGTTGCACAAACATAAATGCTATAGATCAAGAAAATCTTAGCAAGAATATCACCTCCTCATTTTGCACTTAGGACCCCCCTCCCCATTACATCTGTAATAATAACTGTAATCTTGGCAATTGCTTTTCTGTGGCTGTTACAGATCATCCTGGACAAATACAGCACAGTCCTAAATTGCCCAGCCTCTTTCTTTATTCATGAGTATTGAAGAAATAAAAATGGGGATGCTGTATTGAGTAATACATGTAATCTAGGCTGATCTGACCTGCACTGACTTTTAAAATAGGCAATGTTGGTAAACAAGGCACAGAAAAGTAGGTTTAAAAACCACAATTTTGAATACAGTGGCCCATGCCAATATGTATATACTTCTACTTTTAGCATGGTGGAAATCCTGTTGGCATACATATACCTACAGAATACGAATATATCTATCTCTAGTCATGACATCACCAGCAGAGGGATATTTTAGTAATTAAAAACCTTTTCCTTCTCTCCTTCAGCTTGTCCATGAATAATATATTTCATCACATGGAAGCCATGGGAGCTGCAAGAGGGAAGGAGGAAGTCTTTTTACTGAAAATCTCCCTCCACTGATAGTGTAATATGGCAGCACTGATTCTGGATAATGAAACAACCCTTCCTTTTATCCCATGGCTCCCACAGCTTCCTTGAGATGAAAAGGATTATTTGCAAATCCGATAAGCTGTGGAAGAGAAAGCAGAAATCTTTAATTACCAACAACCTCCCCCTGCTGGTGATGTCATGACTGCCCCCTAACTACAGGCAGATCAAAAGTGTGAATGCTTCTTAAACTGTGTGTGTGTGTGTGTGTGAGTGTGTATATACATGTGTGAGAGACAGAAAGAGTAAGGATGAAAATACAGCTGCCACCCCAGCGCTACAATTGGTATTGTGCCTTCTGTCCTAGTCACCTGCCTCAAATGATGTTGTTATTGTGATATGTATTATTATATGCATTATTATTATGTATTATATGTTGTTATTGTGATATGCCGCCTAGAGTGGTCTTAAACGACTAGATAGGCGGAGATGTTGTTATTGTGATATGTATATAAAATATTTCCCCACCTCCCAAGCAGAAAATGTTTACAAGGGAAAGGTACCACAGATCATTAATGAGGGACTGCTGAAGCATATTCTATTTTATGCAGTTGTGTAGTGACATGAAAGAAAAGGAAACATTTCCCATACAAAGAGAGAAAAATTGAAAATGGAATAGAATAGAACACTATCTCTTTTGGTACACCAGAAAACACTTTCATACAAAACCTGTGCCAATGATGGGAAGGTGGTCTTTGAACCTAGTTCCCTCTTAGATGTAGATATTCCTTATTTTACAAAGTGCCTCAATTCTAGACTGAAATGCCTGCTCCCGCTTATGCAACAAGTTCATTCAACACCTGTGTTTGTAATACAGATAACAAAGTATTCACATGCTTGTTAATAGCCACAGGTTTCAAGCTGGATAGTTCAGTGGTTTAGTAGAGGCTAGGATTCCCCACTGTGCCTCCTTGAGAGGGACTGGACTTGATGATCCATGAGGTGCTTTCCAGCTCTGCAGTTCTATGATGATGATGATGATGATGAAGGTGCTTTCCAGCTCTGCAGTTTGATGATGATGATGATGATGATGATGATGATGATGATGATGATACTTACCTAGAAAGTCCCATTGGACAACTAATTACTAGACACCGTAAAGATTACACTGTCAATTGCCACACCTGATAGCAAAGTGTAATTTAATAACTTTCCCCCAAAGTTCATAAACATTATGAATTCATACAGTTTAACATCAAAAGATTTCTCATGTTGCTTGTGCTAAGTACAACAAGCTCACTTCCCAAGAGTTGGACCAATAATTGTAATCCCAAATTAGTCTGTATCCTGTTCTGTCCTCAGAAGGTGCAAACAGAACAAAGACATAATAAAACCAAATGAAAGAATCCCATTGATGCAGATATTATGGTAATTCTGCACACAGCATCATTCTTTCAGTCTGACATTAATATTATTCTAAAAGCTAAGATCAATACATGCCTGCTAGACCTTCTTTTGGTAGCCAAAGAAAACTGCATGTGTTTACCACACGCCAGAAACTGTCTCTCAGTGCGGAGTTTAAAGCAGCCTCCTGAAGTTTAATGCTTAACTTCCTGGTGAGAACATTCAGTTAGAAATCTGCTTTGCTAAGCATACTTACTGACTGATGAGTACTTTACACTTTACTTACTGTCTTTGTCTCCATTCTGTTCATAATCCATTCTCATGGTGCAAGATGAAGAGAGTTGGTCTAAGGTAAGCTTCCCTGTTAAAATGTAGGCATATATTGTTCACTCATCTGTGTGAGGAACAGTTACAAGTCCCGGGTCAGTCCACACAGCCCCTCCCATCTCATTAAACAATTTGAAGTCAAGTGATTTATCATCTGTCACTAATGAAACAAATCCCAAGTCATGTGATGTAAACCAAAGGCTGCTTTGACTCATGCCTAAATCCTATACAGGCATTCTTTCATCATCTTTTATGTGATTATGCTTATAATCTTTATTACTTCTGTTCATTCTGCTCAAACACGATGTTTGTGGTGGAAATTCACTGCCGTCATGAAGAACAGGGTGGATTTCATTGCTATGCAATTTTAAATAAAAATTGATCCAATCTATACTTTGTGAATGATTGTGGCTGACAATCGAACCCAGAGTGCTGAATGTTATATTTTGAAAAGAACCCCTTCCCTTACTTTTTGACTGCACCACACAGAAAATTTGTGTTGTTGCTTATTATTAACATCCTGCATTGATCCTGATAAGCAAGAAGAATACAGGGAGATACTTTCTGACTAAATAAATAAATAAACTAAACAGAGATACTTTCTGACCAAATAAATAAATAAATAAATAAACAAACAAACAAACAAACAAACAAACGCGAGCAGTGGAGCAAGGTGGGGATTGTGGTGGATCTTGACGCACCCTGAACTGTTTGTCACAGTTAATACACATGACTGGCACAGTGCTTGCTGGGGAGTGACTTGACACTACACTTCATCTTGTGCTGATCAGGTATGGGCCTGTGAAAGTCCATTTTGTATAAATTTCACCCCTACCACAGAGCTGTGATTAACATCTGTCGGAGAATTTTTTAAAAAATTAGCATAGTTCAGACCTGTGCAGCAACATGATTTTGCAGTTTGTTTATATGTGCTACTTTTTCTTTTGCATCTTAAAGACCAACATACGTACTAGAGCAAGAGTTTTTGTGGACTATCATTTGGTTCCTCAGATGTATAGAGCACTGTCCAGAATATTAGGTATGAACAAGAGAGACAGAGCAAGGTGGGGATTGTGGCAAGTAAGAACTGGAAGGTTGTTTTTTTTTTTTAAAGATGTAGAAAATGTGATGCTCAAGCTCTCCCTAAAGACAGTATGAGGTTTGGACAGGGAGTCACAGTGGGCACAAATCTACCACCTTCTCTCTGAGGTAGGTATAGAGCACTGTCCAGAATATTAGGTATGAACAAGAGAGACAGAGCAAGGTGGGGATTGTGGCAAGTAAGAACTGGAAGGTTGTTTTTTTTTTTTAAAGATGTAGAAAATGTGATGCTCAAGCTCTCCCTAAAGACAGTATGAGGTTTGGACAGGGAGTCACAGTGGGCACAAATCTACCACCTTCTCTCTGAGGTAGGTCCTCTAAGCGAGCAAGGTGGGGATTGTGGCAAGTAAGAACTGGAAGGTTGTTTTTTTTTTTTAAAGATGTAGAAAATGTGATGCTCAAGCTCTCCCTAAAGACAGCATGGGGTTTGGACAGGGAGTCACAGTGGGCGCAAATCTACCACTCTCTCTCTGAGGTAGGTCCTCTAAGCTTCAGAAGTGTGTAGCATAAGCCCCTTGTACAAGCCTGACCGTAAAAGAAAACATTTGCATACTCTTAAAGCACTTAAGCATGGGCTTTGTGTTTCCTCAGAACACGCAACACCTCTGCAAGGTAGGACCACTCTTAAAAGCAAGTTAGTGACCTATTCCAACCCACTCGATTTAAGTGTATCCTTGCTCTTCAAGGGACTAGTCCTCAGTTGAGCTTATAATTATTTTTATTAAGAAAATATAGATTCATATAAAAATAGTTGTTTGCAAAAGCATTAGCATAAACCTATCCAAAAGAATACAATGGTTAAATAAAGCTGCTATTTCTTATTAAAATAAGAAACACTAGAAACTAAGCTAAGTAATCATTGTAGCTTCTAAAGTGGGCTATCTCCCCTCTTTCTTCTGGTTTTAAAAAGACAAACCCATTTTCCTTGCTACATTCTGTAAGCATTCTGTCCCATAACACAATCCATCCGATACTCGATTCTCGAACACATCCCATCATCCATCTTTTCTTACATCTCTAAGACCTCCTACTTTTGACACTCAATAGCTGTAAACCAATTAACTTCAAAGAGGTTTAATATGACTCTCCAACCAGAATTCTCATGAAGTTCAGGTACATTATCTCACTACCAACTAAGATGGTATGAGTGTTTGGGATTTTACGGGCCTCTTCATCCTTGCCTTGTCATCGCAGTTCTCTCTGTACCAGGGAGTCAGTGAATCTGAAAAACAGTCTCACGGTGTAACACATTCCAATGCCTTAAAATCATGTCACTTTGAATCCAACAGTCTCCATTTTCTCTGACTACATATCCCACTCTCCTTCAGATCATCACACCTGACACTGATAATTACATTGTATTATGACTGGCTATTGGGCTTGTGGAGGGTTATGCAGCTCCTGGGGTTTGAGCTTTTGCTCTTCCTCCTCCCAACCTCAAAGCAAGTTTGAGCAGTGCCTCTTTATCTTCAGCTGCAAAAAAGTAGGCTTGGCCAAGTCAGTGCCATGGCATTGCCAAGTACGCACGAGACCCTTACATATTATTTGGTTCAGCCTGTTGGGTGTGGAAAGCCTGTGGAAAGCCTGTGGCTGTGATTCAAGATTTGAGTTGAGTAAGAGTGCGAGAGCCAGAGAGGAAGGAAGAAGTTTTGTTGTGGTATATAGAAAGGATGAGCACAATGTTCCCTCCAATACTGTGGAGAAAATTAATAGACATTTCCTTAAGGAATCATTGTTGTGCAAGTGTCCAAACCGCCCTGAAATAGTTCCATCCTCAGTTTTAGACTGCAATATTTTAAATGGAAATGCTATAGCTTGCCCTTGTTCTCTTTTTCTACCTTCCTCATTGATACAGAAGATTTTTAAATTTCTGTCTGTTGTTGTTTAGTCATTAAGTTGTGTCCGACTCTTTGTGACCCCATGGACCAGAGCACGCCTCCCGGAATTAGGTCAAATTCATGTTGGTAGCTTCGGTGACATTGTCCAACTATCTTGTCCTCTGTCGTCCCCTTCTTTTCTCGCCTTCACTCTTTCCCAACATCAGGGTCTTTTCCAGGGAGTTTTTCCTTCTCATGAGATGGCCAAAGTATTGGAGCCTCAGCTTCAGGATCTCTCCTTCCAGTGAACACTCAGGGGTGATTTCCTTCAGAATGGATAGGTTTGTTCTCCTTGCAGTCCAGGGGACTCCCAAGAGCCTCCTCCAGCACCACAATTCAAAAGCATCAATTCTTCAGCAGCCAACCTGGTCCAGCAATCACTTCCATACATTGCTACTGGAAAAACCATAGCTTTGACTATGTGGCCCTTTGTTGGCAAGGTGATGTCTCTGCTTTTTAAGATGCTGTCAAAGTTTGTCATCACTTTCCTCCCAAGAAGCAGGCGTCTTTTAGTTTTGTGGCTGCTGTCACCATTTACAGTGATAATGGAGCCCAAGAAGGTAAAATCTGTCACTGCCTCCATATCTTCCCCTTCTATTTGCCAGGAAAAAAATTCTGCCCGGTGTTGCTCTAATACTATTTGCCAATATTAATTGCTAACTGCTCTCTTGTTTTTGCTATCCAACAAAATGAGCAACATAGTTAGGGCCTTGTAAAGTCAAAGCCTCATAAAACTCGAGGACTCATATAGGTAAGCATACTTCACATATTTGAAAATGGATAGGTTACTGTTAAACTAGATTTACAGGGGAAAACCCTGCTTTCTTACCACAAATACTTTCTAACTATGTAAATTAGGCAAATATGTCAAATATCTTGTGTAACTGGTCAATAAGATGTACATGTTTTGGTAGTTTTTAAGATCCACATTCTAATTGGTGGTCCTAAAAAATTTCACTTGTTACTGGTAAGAACAAAGTATAAAAGTTTGTTTGCTGCACCAGAAGGCAGTACTTCCTGAGTACTCTTGAAGACTCCTTTTGTCTCTGTACTGGCAGATGTACCTGTTCACCAGTGAATAAACTATTGTGTTTATGTTCTCTGCTCCTTGCTGCTATTCCTAAGACTTCACTAGAGAAAAAAATGTGGGTGAATTTCTCCAAAACACTCATCAAAATATTGAGCCTCAGGTTTGCTTTTACCCCAATACAACTGGGTTTGCTCAATGAAGGGTTCAACTTCTGAATCATATAATAATTAGCTAGCTCCTTCCTTCAAAAATGTGTTCATCCATACAATCACATCAAAACACATTCTACCCTATTTTGAATATTCCAATCTAATTGAAGCCTATGCTGGCCTTTGTGGATATATGTCTGCCTTTCTTCTAAAACAGTTGTTAATATTGTCCAGTTATGTATATCAATGAGTGTTGGTGGTCATTTTCTGTTTCTTTTTTTCTTTTTCTTTTTTGACCCCCCCCCCCCCTTTTTTTAGTGGCTCCAAAATGGCCACCGCAATACCCGATCTTCGCAATGCGGGTTTTCCCCATTGCGAAGATTGGGTATGTTTCCGTATAGCGATCCCGAAAAAGGGATCGCTATACGGAAACATCGCTATACGGTGCACTCGTTAAGCGAGGCACCACTGTATAATAATTAGCTAGCCCCTTCCTTCAAAAAATCTGTTCATCCATACAATCACATCAAAACACATTCTACCCTATTTCGAATATTCCAATCTAATTGAAGCCTATGCTGGCCTTTGTGGATATACTGTATGTCTGCCTTTCTTCTAAAACAGTTGTTAATATTGTCCAATTATGTTATATCAATGAGTGTTGGTGGTCATTTTCTGTTTCTTTTTTTCTTTTTCTCCCCCCCCCCCC